TTCTGCCTCCCAGCAATTTACCTCCTTGCAGCAAACAGCAAACAGCCTGATTAGCACAAGAAAAAACAATCTGCTTCTGCCTCCCAGCAATTTGCTTGTCCCATTTTTCCTGTTTGCTGCAAGGAGGTAAATTGCTGGGAGGCAGAGGCCAAAGGGGTGTGGGACGGTGGGTGCACCCAAATTTTCACCCTATTTTAAGGGGGAAAAAGGTGGGTCTTATACTCCAAAAAATACAGTATGTGGAAGATGCAGAGGGAGGGTTGCTGTAGAATGATTGGCCTGCCCAAGCTTGATAAATTACTTTTTTAATGTCTTTGTATGATAGCTAGTCCTCGACGTACGACAACAATGGAGTCCTGAATTTCTGTCACTAAACAAAAGCAAATTTTGCCCCATTTTACGACTTTTCCTGCCATAGCTGCTAAGCCAATCGCTGCGGTTGTTAAGATGGTAACCCGGTTGTTAAGTGAATCCCCATGGGCTCTGCTTATCAGATGGTCACAAAGGGTGATCACAGTTAGTGGTTACTGGTGCACATGTGCGTGCCACGATCAGCTGGCCGGCACGCATGCTCACAACGGGAAATGGAAGACCAGCTCTTCCACTTTCCGGCATGGCTGTGCGCACGAAGGCCAGCTGATTGTCGCTTGTGCATGTGTGCCAGAAACTCAGAAGAGGAATGGGAAATGCCGTGTGTGCCAGGTGACATATCTCCGCATGCCACTTCAGGCCCGTGTGCCATAGGTTTCGCCATCACGACTATAGAAAATGTTGAAAGACAGTATCTTTGGTTATGGCAGCAGTACACTGTATCTCTGACCGTATTCTGATTGTTTTCTTTCCTTTAGTTTTTGTACAGGCAAATAAATTGCAGCAACATATTTTTGCTGTCCATGGACAAGAGGACAAAATTTACGATTGTTCGCAGTGTCCACAGAAGTTCTTTTTCCAGACCGAACTTCAGGTATGGCTCTCTTTGTTTTTTCCCCCTTGTTCTCCAGAAAAGGATTGTGTACAAATTCCTTTTGCGCTATCCACTGCGATTATCTGCGAGAAATAAACTAATTGCGAGCAGGTATCAAGGCCCTCTCCGTCTAGGCTCCTCTTACCGCTCTCTGTTCCCGTAATCACAGGAAATTCTCTTCTCCTCCTTGAGTGCAAGCTGCAAAACCTTCTGAAACCAGGCGCCATAAATAAATAAGGCCCGACAAGTTTAATCACTCGCTGTGAGAATTTCTTTTGGCAGTGTGCACCGCAATGCAACGAAAGCATAATGTAAATAATTTCTTCCCCTTGTTTAATAATTTAAGGAAGGATTAGCATACAAAAACCCAGCCATCATGTTCCCCGTTCTTTCCTTTTCTTCCTTCACTCCTCCTCCCCCATCCTTCTTGGAATTCTGGTTTTCTTTCAGGTGAAATTACTGGCACCGCAAAGGGTTCTTCACCTCAGCATCCAAAATGCTATATATCAGCGGTCACCAACTGGTAGTCCATGGACCACTGGTGGTCCGCGGGAAAATTTTGGTGGTCCATAGAAAAATTATTTGCATTTTTTATAGTGAACTAAATCAGGAGTCCTCAAACTATGGTTCCTGGGATGGATACCTGCAATGAATGTTTGCTGCAGAGAGTCTCCCCATTCGGGGGTATTTTTGCATGGATCAGAGGGGGCAGAAATGCCAACTTGGGTCTGCTTCAGCCTCCTGGTGCAAGACTTTGGGCGAAGGCTGGAGGGAAGAGTCGCTGGTGGCAAAGAGCCGGAGTGCCTCGTTTCAGTGGGACTGCATCATGGCCTGGAACTGGCTGACCATCTCAGCCCGCTAAGCTTCCAGGCGCCAGTACCTGGCCTTGCATTCCCGCAGGTCTTCCCTCTGCTTGGAAAGCTTATGCTCCTAGTCGTCAGTGAGGTGCTTCTGCTGAGCCTCATTCTCAGTCAGATCCAATTTGAAGTGAGCCAGCTGTTTGGCCAACTCTTTCTCATAGTGGCTGCTTAGCTCCAGCAACTGCTTCCTGTTGGGGCCCTAAGGAGCCCAGGCAGGTGGGCGGGCAGTGGCTGGGAGGGGAGGGGCCCCTTGACATGAGTGAGATCGAGTTGGCCGTCACATGACCACCTAGCCACGCCCAACCAGCCAATCATTAGGCAGATCCTATTAGTGGTCCGCTGAATTTAAAATTATGAATTTAGTGGTCCCTGAGGTCCGAAAGGTTAGTGACCCTGCTATATATAGTCATATTGTAGACTGGATATGGTCTACCAGCCAATGCCATCTGGCTACNCTATTGCTATTTTGACGGTTGCAGTGTGTTCCCCCCCCCAAGGGTCCTGTGATGCCCTTTTTGCGACCATCAAGTCAAGTCAATGGGGAAGCCAAATTCACTTAATGACCGTGTGACGAACTTATCAATTGCAGCAATTCACTGAAGGACTGTGGCAAGAAAGGTCGTACAATAGGTCAAAACTCCCTTATTAAGAGTGGTTTTGCTTAACGGCATAAAGTCTGGGCTCGATTGCGGTCGTACGTCAAGGACTAACCTGGAAAACCATCCAAATTAGGCTGCAGAATAGCCCAGGCAGTCCTTCACTTAAAGTACCCATTGTGAAAAATAAATCCATTTTTTTAGGGAAAAACAACATCTTTCCTCAAGTTGCTCCCTCTACCGCGATAACCCATTTGCTTGCCGTGCCACTTACGGAGCTGTTTTGAAATAGATAGTGAGAACCCCATATATAGCTTGGCATTATAACATGTGTCAGATCCTAGCAGAAAGAGGACAGGCGTGGCAGAAAAAGAAAACCCAGGTGGAAATCCTCGACTGAATTGCACAAACGTGCCAAAACACGCCGTCCGTAGGTTGTGTGTTTTTTTTTTAAATGCAGCAGAGCTGGCATCAGGGAAAGGGGCCTTGCCACCCGAAAGAGAAACGGGAAAGAGAATTGAGGCGCCAACTTGCAGGCTTGCCCGTTGAAGAAACCTATGGCTGCTTGGCATTTTATGCCTCCGGGGCAAAGGTCCAAACAACTTTGAGGCAGGCACCTTGCCATCCCAGCAGATGGGCAGGCACGGATGCTGCCAAGAGACAATGCCCAGCTCCTTCTCATAAAAGTCCAAATGTCTGGCCCGAGCAGCAGAGCCTCCAGACGCAACGGCACAGACGCAGCTCGCTCTTCCTGCGAACCCGACGGTGGAGGTAAATGCGATTAAAAATATACAGGCTGATGAATGTTCTCGTTAAAAGAGTCCGGTTCAGCTTTCTTCCCCAAACGACGGGCGTATTTAAAATGGAGAGGCAAGGCTTTGCAGAGAGAGGGGAGAGGGAGAGAAAGAGAGAGAGAGATCAGATTCACGCATGCATATTCAAAAAGAGCCATGGAGAAAGTCTAGAGAGAGCCATGGAGAAAGTCTAGAGAGAGTCTCGGTCCTCCAGGTCCGTGGTACGACAAAACCGCGAAGCCCTTATCTGCGGAGACATAAGCGCGTCGCTAAAGCCGCGACGTCATCATCGCACGTCATCACCACCGCGACAACAGCACGGCAACAGAAGGGCGCTTTAAAACGGCGCCGCGGCAGAAAGCCAATTTCCATTAAGGTAAGGTTTAGGGTTAGGTTTAGGGTTAGGTTTAGGGTTAGGT